AATAAACAAGTTGTTCTTTGCCTTCTTGATCACCTTGGGCAACTATAGCATCCATTACCTTGTCAAAAGTGGATAGATAAACTTTAGTGACCTACCTTGAACAAGAATAGATATGGTTGGCAATCTAAATATGAGGTCATGTAAATAAGAAAAGGCACGTTGATGTTCCCTTGTCCATACGAAGGCAGCCTCTTTCTTCAACAAAGGGCTAAACACAGATATAATTTCTACTAGTGAAAGGATGAATCTGTGGATGTATGAGACTTTGCCAATGAAGCTTCGCAGCTGTTTGAGACTTATAAAGGGCTATATGGCTCGAATAGCCTTAGACTTGGCTGGATACACACTGATGCTATGTTTGCTCACAAGAAAACCTAAAAACTTTCCAACAAAGATGCCAAATGCGCACTTCACTAGGTTGATTATCAACTTGTACAGGCGACATCTATCGAAGACTTTTCTTAACACATCAAAGTGGCCCAGCCTTGTTTTGGACTTCACCACAATGTCATCAATATAAATCTCAATATAAATATGGATGAAATCATGAAAAATAGCCACCATAACTCTTTGACAAGTAGCCTTAATGTTTTTAACTCTTTGATAATTTTATGTCGATGCAGTAATGGCCATCCCAACAATATGTGATAAGAAACTTTTGCATCAATAACATAAAATGTAGATAGAGATTGAATTGGATCGACCTTTAATTCCAATTGAATGTATCCAAGAGCGTGTTCGTTGCTACTTCTAAAGCCAACAATGTTGAATGAAGACTTGACGATCCTTCATTGTAGAATTCCTACAGCGATGATAGTGCTCAGTGGTATTAGGTTGAGAGAAGATTCATTATCAATAAGTACATACTTAACACCGACAAAGTTGATTTGAGTAGATAAGTAAAGAGGCTTTTTATGACCAGGGTATGGTGCCTCTATATCTTTTTCAATGAATGTGATGGCATTAGAAGACTCAAGATAAGCATGGCTGGCAGGTGCCTCAGCATTGAGATATTCTCCTCCGATCTCATTAACAATAGAGAGGATAGCTTTTGTAGCTCTTCGTTGTGCATCAATGTGAGACCATGCTGATCAAATAGTGACTTAAACTTTGGATTTTGTTGGAGCGCACAGACAAAAGGATTAGGCGCATCGTCAAGGAACTTGATGATTGGTGCACTTGTTCTGGCGCTTGTCACATGAGTAAGAACATTGACAACACCTTGGTTGTGGCATGGAAAAGGGTCTTCATCCATTCTTTGCCTCCTATTTGAAACTTCTAGCAATCTTTACGTGACTCGACGATGATATTTCCTTCTCAAGGAAAAGCAGTCCATGGTTGAGTTATGAATGAAGCGGTGATAACAGCAGTACTTAGGGTTGTGCTTGTCATCATCGTTGAGCTTGCGAAGTGACTAAGGTAGTGTGATAGCACCATCAATGATCCACTGATTTAGGAGAACATCAAGTTCCTTGACAATGACAAGAAAAAGTGGTGGCAATGCTGTGTCGCAATCCCTGATTTTCTGGCATTGTCCTTGGCCACAAATAGAAACAACTAAGGTGTGAGCAGTAGCCTTCTTTTTTGTCAACTTCGTTACAAATGTTCTAACAGAGATAATTTTGACAAAAATGGTTGTTCTTCTAGCAACATCAAGTAACCTTGCAAATTCACTTATCACAATATTTTCAAGGACAACACAATATTTCGAAAACATGTTGTTGATGCAAATCTCCACCAAGAAGGATTCAACATGGCCATCATAGCAATCAAGCGCCAAATCTGTAAATCTCTTCACATAAACCATTAAATCTTTATCGGCACATTGACAAGTGTTGTGGAGATCAAGGATGATGATGTGTTCCTCACTTTGAAAATATTTTTGACAAAATTGCTCAACCATTTCATCCCAAGAGTGTATGAAGCCAGGAGCAAAATAGTATACCAAGTATAAGCTCTATCGAAGAGAGGTTTAGAAAACTCACGTAGGCACAAGTCTTTATCGCTAGCGTGAGCCCCTCATGGCATCAAGAAATTTGTTGACATGCTCCATGGCGTTGCCTTTCCTTCCACATATTGCAGAAACATAGGACTTTCATATTTCTTTGGATAAGGCTTGGACAAAATCTCCTTCAAATATGGTGGATCATAGACAAATTGAAAAGTGGTTGGATTTTGCTTGGAACGTTCCCTATCCAAGACAACAATGAGATCTACCATGGTGACGAAGCCTTAAGTGGAATCAACTACATTAGGTGAAGCCCCATCGATGTTGGTGGGTGTAACTACTAGTGGTGCTGAGTTATTTGGCCATGCAACAAAGCCCCCATTACCTTTGGTAGCCCCAGTTTGGATCTCCTGTGGCTGGGACGTCCCAGCCATGTTGACTGGTTATACTGAATCTAGCACAGTATGTTGAGCTGTAGGTTGGCGAAAAGTTGAGTAGTTCTTTGTTGATCCTCATGCAAGACCTAAATAACTTGGACCAGAGATGCCCAACTAGGATCGGTGATTCCTTACAAGAGATCATTGAAAACATGTGTCAATGGACATGGCTGTTGAACTTCCCATCCTTCATCTTGGCCAAGCTCTTGATTCCCATCAACGATGTGAGATAAAGTTGCTCTCATGACAATCATGGTTCGAAAAATCTTGTTGAAGCTGAATAAATATTGCTGAGGAAAAAATACTAAAGATGTTATACCACTGGAAAAAAAAAAAAAAAGCAAAACAAGACAAAGCTCTAGGATGACCTCCTCAATGGAGTTGTCATTTTTGTTGGGATATGCATGTTACGTTGGTTGATGAATCAGTAACAAAGGTGAGGTGGAAGCTGACTAAGATGCCATCTGTTAGAAGTGAGGAAGGTCCTTTT